AACATGCACCTCGGTTCACTCTTCCAGACGTAACATTTCAGACTAAACAAATTATTATAAATATAAGACGGAAATGTGGCGTCGGCTCGTCGCCGATTCCGTCACGGTGTTAAAAATTGAATATAACGGGGAACCTTGTAGCAGGCGCTTGTGTGAACAGTTAATATAGTTGTTTCGAGATAGTTTCGATCTAAAATTGAAAATCGCTCTTTTGGAAATTATTAACGAGTAACTGAAGGGCGCGTAAATGAAAAACACTTCAGTTATGTTCGTTTTATTCGGTACACATACGATTTCAGACGTCCTTAAGAGCGAACCGTGGAAGGAAATAACAAAGGAGTCTGTTGTTTCAGATTTTAACGAATTATATTTCAGTAACTGCATGGTAAATAATTCCTATTTTCTTTTTCTAAATGGTTTATAATTTTGATCTTTATAACATATAAAATTTTCAGCAAATTCCTAAATTACATTTTGATGTGAAGTGACAAAATTCGATTGAAAGCTGTACATACCATAAGGGTCTGTGTTAAAATTACAAAATTTTAATATCGTTTTTCATTAAACAAGGGGGGTCAATTTAAATCAAAGTAGGCTCATACGATTCATATTTAACCAAAACATAATCAAATGAAGTTTCGTTAAAATTCTCCATTAAATAAATTCACGAAGCAACTACCTTAATTGTTTTGAGTAGTTTCGGTTGTGAATATAACAGAATTTATTCAATTCTTTTATATTTTACATCAAATTTATTCATATTTCTAAATTATTGTGACATTAATAATAAGAATGAATTTTATCATTACTTTTCTATACAAAGAACTAAGAGTTTATTATATTTTTTGTTAGGCCTTATACGTAGAAAGTCTCTAATATTAATACTCATTTCTGTTAAAAAATTTGTATCACTTGTCGTATTTATAATGAATCTATACTCTTTTGCAAATATTTAAGTATTAAACTGACACTTCTGCATGAACTGAGTTTACGAGTGTATAAAAATTCATTGCAAATATTTGTTCGTAATACAGCAGTTGGAAGTACGAGTTAAACTAACGCGTCTCATTCTAAGAATATGTTTCCGCGATTCTTCTACTATTTCTTTTCGTATTTAACAAAGCATAAATGAAAAGTTCGCGTTTCTATCTTTACCCGTATCATCGGATATGAAAGTTTAATTTGGAGTGCAACTGACTCGTGGCATCAAATATAAAAGCCATCGGAAAAAAGCCACCGCAGAGACCGTGCTAAAATAATATTCGAGGTGTTGAAATTTAAATTGGCCTTTCTCGAGACTTACTATATCATTTCAATTCAAAATCCAAGCTTGGAAATGTGAATGTATAATAAATACATCTGGTATAATTAATCACATCACCAGTCGCTGGGTTTATTATTTGTGGATGTAAGTATAGCTTCACTATTGACCGGTGTGCAGTAATAGTGAATGATTAATCAGCAAAATGGAGATATTCATATTTATATTTGGACCTCAATATTTTATTGTCCGCGCATCGGAGTAAGTAATTTTTTGAAATGTATAGGGAAACTTTTCAAATATTTATTTTAGGTTTGTGAAATCGAAGAAGTATTTATATGAAGTTAATTGACATATTAACGTGAATGATTGTTTTTTATCAAAATAGCTTGCGGAAATATCTCGTTTTCTTTATTTCTTACAATACTAATATTTAATCTAGATTGAAATGAGGTCCCTTGGAGAAGTCTTGGGGCCGCGAGATTTTAATGTAAAATATTTAATATCCTCTTTTATTTAAATCATTGCAAAAAATGTAGTTTTGATGAAAAATAGGATATATAATTTTTGTAACTATAATAAGTACAATTTTACAACTTTTTCTGCAATTTTTACTATCGTAATTTTGTATGTTTTTAAACAAATTCTAAAATGCTAATGTGTTGAGACTCAAATTAATCGATCATTTTCGTATGTTCCAACCGAACGTTAATTGCCTCTCCGACATACAATGATGAAAGCGATCAGCATCGTTACGTACAACTGTCACTGCAGCTGGTTAATTTCACGAGCGTGTTCGCGCGATCATCCGAAGTGGAAAAACCCTCAAGCCATTGGAAACTGCCGGAGATCGTTTCTGCTCGATTGGCGTTCAACAGCGCCGATATCCTCTTTACCGACGACAAAAGAGCCACCCAGTGTCGGTCGACTGAAAATCAGCAACGATTATCGAACGAGAAAGAAAAGGAATCGTTTTCTCGAGGCTCTCGCTCGCCGCTGCCGGCGGTCTTCCACTTTTTAATCTTCTCTCGTTTCCGTGGGCACCCCTTCCGCGCGTTTTCCAAGCAAGCTTGATCAGAAATGGGGAAGACTCTCATCCTAATAGATTATTCGAATAACGAATAAAAACCGAACGCATATCACGTTGATCGATACTTTTCGAGACTTTATTGATAACATTGAATATAATATACTGATTCGTTAAGATACATATGGTTGCCTTCGAAGTACAGTAAAGTCTTTATAAATGCACAAGTTCAGTCTCGAGTTTGTGCATTTATGGAGACTTTACTGTATATTGCGTATCAAAAGTATACCAACACTTGGATTTTTGGAGGTTTCTAGGAAATTGTTATCTAGATATAAATTTTTAGTAACGAATAGAACAAGAATTTGTATATCAACTACATAGAAGCGAGGAGAATTTTTATTCAAGTAAAAATTTCGAATAACGAATAAAAATGGAAGCATACATCTAGTATACAGAAATGAGGAAAATTCTTGTGTAGATACAAATTTCTAACAATAAATAAAAGAGTTCGTATATCTAATATACAGAAGTGTGGAAAATTGTAATTCATGTAAAAATTTCGAATAACGAATAAAAAGAAAATTATACATTTAGTATAAAGTGATTTAGAGAATTTAAAAATAAGTACATATATTTCATGCATATGTTTCACATCTATTATTTAAGAAATTATGATTGACATTTTAATTCTACTATGAAATAAACGTCACGAAGAAATAGTAATATGTTGGTTTTATTTGTTATAGATTTGTCAAGTAGCATTTAGCCCATCTCTGCACTCCATCAAATGCATCGTGACGTTCGGTCTGACGCCAGATTTTCACGCGAAATCCTTGCAATTTTTACGCTTACGCTTTGACTAGCAAAACAATTCAATTGGTTAAAAAAAAGTGTAATCTAGGAATTCTATTGACAACTGGAGTTGGGAGCTTCATTTTTGCAAAAAACAATTCTCCAGGTAGAAATTTGTGCATCTGCAGTTGTTGAAATATATTAAATAAATATAAAGAGGTTTCCTTTGATGAAAAATATAATCGCGAACACTGTATAAATACTTAGGTACTATTATTTTCTCTTTACTTGTCCGATCTTTGGAGTTTAAATCAATTTTCAATAATATTTTTAAATTACATTTTCTTGACCTTTAGCATATACAGGGTCTATCCATTAAGTTTTGTGATCATTATTTAGATATTTTTGGGAGTACAATTAAGAAATGGGTGAGTTGATCGCGTTTTATACAAATTTAGAGTTGGTTGTGACAAGGTTCAATAACATTAAAAAATTCTTGTACAATATAATATTATACTGGTGACTACTTGGTACTTGATATTGAAAGCAATTCACACGCTACAGATTCCAGTGGAAGGAGTTCCAAATTTACGTGTATGAGAACGTTAATATTCAAATTACTTTCAAAGTTGATTGAATATATTTAAGGAGAAAATAATACATAAAGTATTTATTGACATCAAACCTACATATTTTATTACATGAGTGCTATAGATGTACAATTAAATAGAACATTTTTAAAAATATGTAAACAAATAATATACGTATGATATAAGACTTATCTTATCATGGTTCTTTTTTCTTGGAATTGATCAAACAAATGAACAAAATTCTCGTCGCTCTATAAAAAAAAGTAATGACAATCAAAGTTTGTTCTTTAATCCATTCACTTCCTTCTTCCCAATCTGATAGTAATTTTCAATTACACGTGTTACCAACTGGTTCAAACTCTACTATATCCGACAATCGCGCGGTACAATTCGAATTAAAGAATTTTTTTTTTTTTTTGACTACATATGTCTCGATGAGAACGTTTGAAATTTTTCTGTTTTAGTGAATTCACCATAATCATTATTTATACAATGTCACTCCAGAAAATTAAAACTCGATTACTATAGCAGTCAAAGTGTTGCTGAATAATTCACGCGTGACTTGTGGTCGCGCGTTTCCTTTTCGTCTGACTATGGCTGGGCGCATCTACTGCACGCAAGTTCTTTGTCGCTCGGGTACTATCACTTTAAGCCCGTGTAAGCTGCTTTTATATTTTCTGTTACCCACTCACCGCTCCGTTCCTACACACATAACCCAGCTGGCTTACAGTTGATTCCACGCAGTACGTACATATAGACCGCAAACTGATTTCCTGCAAAGGTAATCCTATTCGAAAAGTGGTTGACGCTTGGTGTACAGGTTTTAAGCATTCCTCGAGTCAACCATTTTCAGATGTTCTTTTTTTTTTATCAGGGATTCCCTTTAACGTGGCATCCGGCGTCGTTAAAGATTCACGGGCTTTACATAAATGCGACGTGACGCTGTGTTTATACAACGGCGTTTAAAATATTTTATGTGCTCTTACCTTTAGTGTTTCGTTCTTTTTAGAATTCTTTACAGTGGGAACGTGATTCACAATGCTTGTTATACATATGTAAGAAGTCGTATGTAACAAGTCTTATAACTAAAGTAATACTAAATTGAAGTGATTCAAAATAATTTATACGTAAAGTAATACTAAAAACCTGATATCTATCTATTAGTAATTACTAATAGAAATTTCTGTTAGAAATTTTAAACCTTATTTTTTTTTGCTAGACATTTAATATGGAGGTAGTATAGTAATGTGTATAAGAAACTATGTATATCATTCTATTTAATTATTGAGGTTATCAAATAATACACGAGATTAAGCAACGTTTCAATTGTGAAGAACTATTTATTAAACATATAAAGGTCATGTAAGAATACAAGAACGTGTGAGGAAGTACGCGGTGAATGAACGAAAGGTGACGAAAGACAGTGCAACATTAAAAAAACAGAGTCGACCTTTATCATTGTTCACGATTTGTTTACAATATTTACTCAACTACGACTTTGCAATACCTGTGAACAAAATAACGACAATTAGAGTGTATTTTTTAATTTTAATTCGTGTTTAATTCGTCAATTGGCTTTTCCTCATTTTTATTATCTTACTTTCAATAAATCATATAACACATACACATTTATTTCAATAACCTTCGCAACTCTCAACTGTTAATTCAACAATCATACTTTACCCGCAGATTCAAAAGGAAAATTCAAATTAAAGAAATGCATTTTTTCTTAGATATATAATATTGTTTTTGTGTAAGCAAGAATAAATTAGACAATAATTAATTGCAGGTACGGGCAATAACTTTAGCAAACAATTATAAATTAAACAAATACAAACTGTATATTTAACGATACCATAATTGACAGACAGTTCGTAACTAATAAAGAGCAATGTAACTAAAAATGTACAATATTTTCTAAGACACTCCAATGACTATTTTATTTAAATTGACAATCAGATGTAAAGTTTATGTACACAAGACAAAAATAAATTTGCACAATAATCGAAGGATCGAAGAATGTGTACACGAGGGATAAATAACGATTTAAGCAACGAATCAGCTCGCCGCAATATCTCGATACCTTTCAGCGAACAAGTACACAGATGCACGTAACGTCCCAGCCAAACTAGAAACTCTATTGTTTATAGATCTTATTATCTGCATTAGCTTTATTAGGCGATACGGTGGCCCCAGAATCGAACAACGGCGGAATCTTGGTCTGTAGAGACCTTAGAAATGTGTGTTACCTCCAGGCCGTTTATTCTGCCAACAGGGTGGTTTCTAATCTCATTACCGTATTTTGCCCCCTATCGTTCCGTGGATATCTCCTCGCCTTAATCCGTATCTTCCAATCGATGACAAGATTTAGTTATTAATACCACTGAATCGAATTCATGGGTGATCTTTATAGCTTTGACTTGGATAAATTTGTCTTTCGTCTCGTCAAAGTGTAATAATTCATTCCTGTTATTATTTCAGTTGGACAATTCTATTTCTCATCGCAGAATATTTCATTTTATAGTTTCCTGCTGAAAAACATTCTTTGATTAAAAATAAATAACTTCGAGTTTGCTTCATAAACATAAATAGGGCAATGTAATTAAAGATAGATCTAATTTTATTTGATACAATAAATTACGAAAAGATTTGAATATTTAGTATCGATAGACAGAATATTCATTTTGTAAGTTTAATTAAAGGGATTTAGTTTGTACGTAAGGTTTTTCAATTTTTTGATTCGGTGAAATGTAACAAATACGCAGATGGATTTTAATGATAACATTGATTATTTTTGCATTATTTGTCTTCCGATTCGTGGGATAATTTATTGTAACAATTTCTGAAGTTCAAAGAATGTTTTCTAATGTTTTTTTTATTTTCTTTGTTGCAGGTGCAAAGAACCTGGAAGATATATGAAAGAACTGCCTCCCACAGCGGTGATAATTTGCTTCCATAACGAGGCATGGTCAGTATTGTTAAGGACGGTTCATTCCGTACTGGACAGATCGCCGGAACATCTCATTCAGGAAATCATCTTGGTCGACGACTATTCAGATATGCGTAAGTGAAAGCAACTAGAGTTTTAAAAACATTTGATATAGAAGACTGTGGTCCGAGATGTCCAAAATTTAATTTGAACAAAATGTTAGATATACACAGGGTGTCCCAAAAGTCGGGGAGGAGCCGGAAATGGGTGGTAGCTGAGACGATTCCGAACAACAATTTCCTTTGCAAAAATGTCGGATAGGTCTTCGTTAAGGAGATATTAAGAGAAAACCTCGACCAATCAGAGCGCGCGTAGACCGTTCGAGCTGCCGCGGTAGCGGTAGCTTCCGCTAGGCGGTTGCGTCAATGTCCTTCGATGCACGTCGAGGTCACTTGCGTACAGGCGCGGCCGTCAACGCGTAGCTACGCTACCGCGGCCGCTCGAACGGTCTACGCGCGCTCTGATTGGTCGGGGTTTTTGCTTAATATCTCCTTAACGAAGCCCCATTCGACATTTTTGCAAAGGAAATCGTCGTTCAGAATCGTCTCAGCTACCCCCCATTTCCGGCTCCTCCCCGACTTTTGGGACACCCTGTATAAAGTATTTAATTTTCTCGCGACGTGTATTCTCTCAAGGTTCTGGGATAAGTGCCACGGGGTCGATCATGGTCCTTTTACCAGAAGGTATGTCACCTTCCCCACTCCGTGGCCAGATCCTCTTAGAACACCCTTATCTCTTTACATGTGCCCACGCAGCACTATGACATCGGGTCATCGGCCACGTGACACAACTCTGTTGGCTACCGCCAAAAGAGGTGTATCGAGATCTTTGTAGCTTTAACCATAACATCCGCGACTCTTAGAATTCGTCGCGCACCTAGCTCTATCGGTTACCACCGATCCTCAGCCGATGACAGACATTGGTCTCCGTCGTCGGCATCCCGAGACTCCTGAAAAGTAAAGTCGACGGTCCGAGGGTACGATGACCCTCGCACGTGTATCACCCTTACATTTGAACCGACACTAACAAACAACGCTAGACAAAACAACACTAGCGTGTAGTAATTTATTTATGACGTTTATTATTCCACTTTATTACAGAGCAGTGAAAATATGCAAATTAGAAAGTACTCGGTCCAATACCTAACACTTACGATCATCACACAGTTTTTCATAGCATAAAATACTATAATCCTATTAACCGTTCAATTATTTCCTCATAGCTCGAAAAAGTGGCGGAAACAAAGATCTTCGCAAAGAAGCGAGCAAGGGCTTAAGTAGAAACGGCGTGTCTTTGTTGCAGCGGTAGCTGTATACTCTAGCAAGCGTGTCCCTATTGAGCTCGGTGATTCGTTATCACGCCAGTGTTCCGTGGTTCCACGATAGATCGATTAATCGCGATCCATCTCTCGCGTGCGCGAGGGTCCGCGCGCGGCGTAACGATCGGGTCAACGTGAATGGACGGGAAAGCTCTTGCCGACATGTTCCGCGTGTATACTCGGGAAATTCCGACAGGTTGATACATGTTAGCGATGGCGAGACGTCCGCGGGTTCCGTTCGTTCGTTCGTTCGTTCATTCGTCCTCGAGAAAAATTTGCCTGCGTTTGACGCGAGCTTTTCAACGCGACGGGAAGTTTACCCTGCATCAATTATTTGTTCATATCGCACGCCTCTCGACGCGGGACTGTTATTTCCCGCGGATTGTGTGAACAACCCAGTTTCACGGAGTTAGTTCTTCCGATTGAGTACCATTTCGTGTACCGAGCGGAGAATTGAAGTCAAATTTCGATTCCGTTTGGATAAATTCGCGGCTGGATGTTTGAATGAAATTCCATCGGGGGTAGGATTGCGTAATATTCGTGCTCTTCATTTGTTTTTGTCGTGAACGGTATACTGCAAATATTATTATTTCATTTTGAAGAGGAGGAATAAAGAGATTGAAATGTCAACACTGTTTTATATTGAATTTTTAATCTATTGCTCAAATATTCAATATTGTTCAATGTCTTTTTCTGTGCTAAAATTTATGAGATAAATTGTCGCAATATAATTTCTTAAGGTCGGTACAATTTTACTGGTGGTGAATTATGTAACATTCGTATTTTTCATTTATTTATATCACAAACAGAATTTATCATACTTATTCACATTTAAATGCTCCACCTTGTATACCAGAGAGTCAGAGTGACCTAATTTTCATGTTTCACTCTGTATACATCAAGTATTTCTCGAGTCGTCGAAAGTGACGTGTTAAAGCAAAGTCTCGTTATCGTAGGAGGTGTCATGCTCGAGTTAATGTGTCGTAGGATTACAGGATAGATAAGCAATCAGGGGCCACCTGTAACAAAAGGGGCGAATGAAATAAAAAACGTAACGGAAAGGCTGGCGAGATTAACCCTTGACAGGAAAGGTTAGGGAGGCACTACGTGGTGGAAACGATATAGCGTGGAGGCCGCGAAATTTCCCTTAAAAGCTGGAGATAAGCTTCCGTACCAGTCGGAAGTGTGGCTCATAAACATAGTTACCAAGCAACATGGACAGAGCGTAGCGTATCCTATTACAAGCCAGTTGATTGTTTTATCATAGAACCGAGAAAGTAAGCATCCATCTTCACTCTGTGTTTGTTTTCCCTTTATCTGATATAGGTGGTTCAGATAGCGTTCGTAATATACACTGCCCTTCAAAAAAAAAAAAAAAAAATGGGACACTGTATTCAAAGCGTCATAACCCAGAGAGTTTTTAACCGATCTTCAGGAAACTTCGTGAGGTTTAGTTCTGAAGTGTCCTCTGGGCGTGTCCAAAGTTGCATTGACGAGGGTTGATGAGAAAGGGTTAATTCACCCCCCCCCCTCTAAAGGGGTAGTGCAGAAAAAACGGCACTCCAGAAGGGTCCAGGGGTGACGGAAGGGGGTGAAAAATTAAAAAAACCTTTGAGGCGACTCTGTTTGATGCCCCCTACAAAATGCACTCCTTGAAATCGCTCTCGGACAACCCCACCCCCCACCCACCCCCTAAAATCCACAATTTTTGGACGACAGTCTCGATTTCGGACTCAATGTATTCATGTCTTTTCCCCTCGTGAATAGCATTAAAATACGAAAATGATTTTCCTTGTTAATTATTCTCGAAGTAATTAATTTTGTGTACCATGTTATCCATGAATAACATATTATTGATCATTGTGTAACGTTCATTACATTCGAGCTGCAAGGGAAAAATATTTTTCCTTCACGTTCATTTTCATTGTGAAATTTCTGCCTTTTATCATATTAATTGAATATTTTTAATTTTAGCTTTTTAATATTTCAACGATATTATTTCGTAGCAAAACAATCACAAAATGTAACCAAGAACACAGTACCTATTAGCCCCCGTACTGACGAGAGCATTTTCGAACGCTTTTGTGACTGCTACAGACCCATCAAAGGGATGTGCGTGCGAACGTCCCATACATGATTACGTTTTTATAATTGTATTCGTAACACTCGGAAAAGTATTTGTCTTTAAAATAACCGTCACGATATGTAGGAAAGTACACATAGGTCTCTTTTAAAAAAGCAACAGATTGCACGAAAAGTGAATCAAATATTCACGATACGTGCACAAAAAAATTCTTGAATGTGAAAATTTTGTTATATTCTCTCGTTTGATGTACAAACTCGCCCCTTAGAAAACATCATTTAAAAATCGCGTTTTTACTTTGGCCGAGAGTAACAGGAGTCAGTATAACTTCTCATTATACTTCCACTTAACGGGGATTGTTCCTTGCCGTAATGAAAACAGAGAATAATGAACTCTTTTTTTTTTTTTTGTATGCGTTGCTTGAATGTTCTCCGCCTTTCATAACTTGGGAAAAGATCCACGGTTTGTATTTAATTTCTTGTAGCGTTACAACGGGAGCTTTCCATCGCGATTGTGGAACAAGGAAAGCGGCTATTGTTATAGCAACAACTCGTAGACAACGCCATAAATAATACTTAATCCGACGTTGAGATTCTAATGGATGCTAACATGGAAGAACACTGGTAAATCTAACAGCTCATTTATCGTTACGAAAGCCTCCAACTTGTTATGCTCGAGCGATGAATTACAACAACGTTAAACGAGGATTATTTCTTTGAATAGTGTCGTTAAATGTAAGTGACAATGGCCTTGTAAACCACTTTAATTCCGAGTATCAGGAAGTAGATCAATATCCATGTATGAAAATTCTGAAATATGTATGATAAAAAAGTAAAATAAATAAATATAAATATGTAAAAAATATAGTGCTAACTAGACTGCGAATCTTTATGCAAAATAAAATCTTTGCAAACGTGCCTACAAAAATTTAACCCAAGTAGAAATTTATTTTAGTTTGCTAATGTTATAATATTAATTTTACTTTCAATATTTTTTTATATTATTGTATACTGTGTGCACTTCGTAATTTCTTGTACATTTAAATTTTCTGTAAATGCATGAAAATCCGGAGTATAGTGATAACTAGACCAGATGCTTATGCAAATTTACATTTTCACATGTACTGAAAAAAAATTGAGACCTGAATTAAATTACTATTGATATTTCATATATTTTTAATCTGAGTTCCTTCTTGGAAAAAAAAATTGGAAATGACGTGTTCACCGAGATCGGTGCAGAAAACCGTTCAACTCAAATTTTAATAACCTTAATAATTTTTTGTTCCTCCGACAGAAAGTTAAACCAAGTTTGGTAATTTTGAGTGTAGGTAATTTTAAATTTTGCACCGCCTCCGAAAAGGTTGCATTGTATTTAATATGCTGTATTTAATAATTCAATGAAATTCATCAAGAGTTGGTGAGTAATAATGCAGTAAATATAAATTATTTCATACTTTTCTATACTATTACTATCATATCTAGAGCTGGTGAGTATTCATGTGAATTAACTTCAAATTATTCCATACTTTTTCGTGCAATTTTAATGTTTCTCGAAGTCGGTTACATTTTTTTCCAAAAATTACTTTATTTCATTTGCAAACATTTTCATTCGTGTTTCAATATTTCTGCTGTAAATTCAGAAACATCCACAGTCTAGTGATAATATTATGGATAATAAATTATGAAATACAAATTTTAGTCTTTGTTTTCTATCGTGATGGGTTGTTTCTATCCAGTTTAATTAATATCGTGTTTATCATTAATAATTCATAATTGAATTTTCAGGTCGGTAATAATAACAAGTAAACAGAATTTGAAGGGAAAACGCGCATGTACTTCATTTTAATCAACGTTTCGTCTTCGTGTACGCCCTCGAGGTGATCTGTACCCCGAGAATGTAGTTGTATTATGTATTACATTCTTTAACATGATACTGAGAAACAATGGAATTTGAAAACAATATTGGAGGGAATAATTTGAAATTACATTTCTTCCGGCATAATTCGAGAATTTATTATACATTACATTGAACAAGATTACATAATTGGTTAAAAAAAAGGAATTTATTAAAAATTTGTTTGAATTTAATGTAAAATAAACGACATTACTTTCCAGTCTACCTAATACAATTATTTCCTTCTTTTACCTTCTGTATGTTATTCTTTATACAGGTTGGGCCATAATTTGTAGTACACTCGAGAAGGGTGTAATTCTACATTCTTCCCATCCGTCGTTTTTCAAAAACTCGATTTTTAAGTTTGTTAAACTACATAAGCTATTGAATACGATTTGGTTATCCTATATTCCATCAACGTGTCTTTGTCTGAGTTAGTGTTTATAAACGTTGGAAGTTAACACATTAACTGCGGACGAAAATAAGTAGCCGTTCGCTGGGAGCTGCAATCATGATATTTTTTTAATAAAAAATTTCTTACAAATGTTCTAATAAGATTATTTTGAAAAACATACATTTGTGGTAACTTATTTTATATATACTACGATTGCCGAACAAAAAAAATGAAAGCTGAAAAATATAAAAAAACAACCACGTATTTTCATCCACAGCGAAAGTGTTAAATGATAACTAACATAAATAATGGAAGTATTTGCTATTTTTATCGTTTCAGCGCACCTCCAGCGCCAGCTCGAGGACTACATGATGAACTACCCGAAGGTTCAGATCATCAGGGCGCAAAAACGCGAGGGACTTATTAGAGCACGTTTGTTGGGAGCGGCAGCAGCGAAGGCACCAGTCCTCACATATTTGGACAGCCACTGCGAATGTACCGAGGGTTGGTTGGAACCACTTCTGGATCGGATCGCTCGCGATCCGACGACAGTCGTCTGTCCTGTAATCGACGTCATCGACGACACCACGCTGGAATATCACTGGAGGGATTCCGGCGGCGTGAACGTGGGCGGGTTCGATTGGAATCTACAGGTAAGCGAAATTCCTTCGTCGTTATTTCGCTAGGTTCTGTCTGCTATTAGAAAATAATTCCTGATACAGGGAGCGGTTCCATACTAAGCTATGACAGGAATTCGTGCGGTTGCTGTTCGAATCGAGTTATACGCATTTCGCTATGGCTCTCGTTGACGCGAAGGACATTTTCGTGGGAAATTAATTTTGGGAAGGCGGTTGAAATCATTTTGACAAAGATTCGATTTAAAGGAACTTCTAATTGTATAAGTAGACCTTGGGAAATGTTTATTTTAAAATGGAAATGGGGAAGTAACTGTTTAGGATGATATTTGAATTTTTATTTCGTGCAACGATGTTTGGAAATAATTGAAGCGTGGTCAGAGAAATATATCGTGTAATTTTCGTGGAAAATTATTTTTGGGAAGGCGGTTGAAATCATTTTGACAAAGATTCGATTTAAGGGAATTTTTAATTATATAAGTAGACATAGGGAAATGTTTATTTTAAAATGGAAATGTGAAGTAACTGTCGAGGACGACATTTGAATTTTTATTTCGTGCAACGGTGTCTGGAAATAACTGAAGTGTGGAGAGAGGAGTATATTGTGTAAAGAAGGAATTTTAAAATACGGGGTGTCCAAAAAGTCGGGGAGGAGCCGGAAATGGGTGGTAGCTGAGACGATTCCGAACAACAATCTCCTTTGCAAAAATGTCGGATGGGGCTTCGTTAAGGAGATATTAAGCAAAAACCTCGACCAATCAGAGCGCGCGTAGACCGTTCGAGCGGCCGCGGTAGCGAAGCTACGCGTTGACGGCCGCACCTGTACGCGACAAGTGACCTCGACGTGCATCGAAGGACATTGACGTTGCCGCCTAGCGCGTAGCCTTCGCTACCGCGGCCGCTCGAACGGTCTACGCGCGCTCTGATTGGTCGGGGTTTTCTCTCAATATCTCCTTAACGAAGCCCCATCCGACATTTTTGCAAAGGAAATTGTTGTTCAGAATCGTCTCAGCTACCCTCCATTTCCGGCTCCTCCCCGACTTTTGGGACACCCTGTAGAGATTCTTGCATATGCATTTTTTGGATTAAACGAAACATATATACGTAAAGTGGATTTTTCCAAAGGTATTAGCACATACTTGCTTGTTTAGCGTCCAAATGATTGTAAATAGAGAACCTGGAAGTAACTACAGAAAGCAAATGTACATTTTCTGAATCCTTTCACCTACAATATTAGAATTCATCGAATTGGATAAATATAAATCGAGCGTGTACTTTAAGCAAATATGTACATTCGAAATTAATGTCCCCAGAGAAATGTTCAGAGTTTCCCGTTCTCTCTGCGACATTTTCAAGGTTTTTCTTGGTTTTTGTATCAGTTCAACTGGCATGCGGTTCCGGACAGGGAGAAAAAGAGGCACAAGAATCCCGCGGAGCCCGTGTGGTCACCAACCATGGCTGGTGGTCTCTTCTCGATAGATCGGGCATTCTTCGAGCGCCTCGGCACGTACGACAGTGGTTTCGACATTTGGGGTGGCGAAAATCTCGAGCTTTCGTTCAAGACCTGGATGTGCGGAGGTGAGTTAGTTCCATTGGCTGGGAAACCTGGTACTGAGAAATTGACAGAAACGAGCGAAATAGAATTTCTCCTTGAAAATCCTCCTCGTTGAAAAACGGAATCCTTTAAAAGGCAACAGTAGAACACCGTTCATTCTTCCTTCAATTTATTCGAGCTTCCGTTACATATTCCTTGGTAATTTCGCAAATTATACAAACCAGTAATTGCTGTTTCAAAACAAAATGACTATATCTATTCTAGATATTTCCGAGAATATGTAGAATATCATGGATTATAAAATATGAAGTTAATAAACAGTTTTGGGACACCCTGTATGTCCTATAATTAGTGTAAGAGCCGGAAATGGGAGATAGCTGAGACGATTCTGAACAACAATTTCCTTTGCAAAAATGTCGGATGGGTCTTTGTTTTTAAATTATGAACGAAAAACCATCGACCAATCACAGCATCCGAGCAGCGTGCTTTCAGTTGATAGGCAGCCAATCGCAGTTCGAACCTATGCTCTCGCGGCTATGCGCGCGCTAATCGGGCGCTGTGATTGGTCGATGGCTTTTCGTTAATAATTCCGACATTTTTGCAAAGGAAATTGTTGTTCAGAATCGTCTCAGCTACTCCCCATTTCCGGCTTTCACACTAATTATGAGTTATTACTATATACTTATAAAAAACCATCAAAATCTTTCATAAGGTATATCCTGAAGAGTAAAACAAAATGATCAAAACGTTGATCGTATATAAATAAAAATACATTCAACAAGGCTTCACTAAATGTCAAGAAATGCAGCACGATCGAGTAGAATATAAACTTTCAAATCATATGCGGACGATTCTCAACAATAGAAACGAGTTTCTCAAACTAGTAGATATATTAACGAAATATGAAATAATGAATAAATTGTAATTGAATCGTAGATATTAACGTAGTCACTAATAACCGTGTAGTCGATGTGACCGTAAACAAAGTAACTAAAGACAAAAAAAAGCCTTCACTAATAAGAAAGAAACACTTCCCATTCGTCAATAAATTAAATTTTCCTTTTCGCTCGAAATATTACGCGACTTGTTTTTGCTGATTTGAAAAGTTTGAGATACTTTTGGCCCAATCCATGTAGTTGCGTCATTCTTACTTACCCTCTGTGACCTGGTCATGTCAACACGTTAGATCCGTCGAGGGTGGGGATCTCGCTTAGAGCTCGAACCAGTTCTAGGTATATAGCTGGTTTCCGCGAAATAGATCTCTCCCCTACCTCCTGCCCGCCCAATCAGCCTTTTCCACGTTGCTGTGTATATACGAGTGAAATTCGACTGGTGGGTTTAGGTACTCTGGAGATCGTGCCGTGCTCGCACGTGGGCCACATCTTCCGGAAACGTTCGCCGTACAAGTGGCGTAGCGGCGTGAACGTGCTCAAGAGGAACAGCATAAGGCTGAGCGAAGTGTGGTTGGACGAGTATGCCAAGTACTACTACCAGAGGATAGGTCACGACAAGGTGAGCGCTCCTACTCAACCGGTTGAGGAACCTTTTTCGCGAAACCCTTCGACTTTTCTTCTCTCTCGGTTCGTCGCCCCTATCTTGCTTCTCCTAGTTTACCGGTGGATCAAGTTGAAAATTTCGAGTTGAAATAACGCACGATCTGTGTCGGGAACGTTGATTGCCAGTAAGTGATGACCAGACTGCGAATATTTTTGCATTTATTGCGGAAATGGAGATATGGAAAAATCCAGGAGAATTTGCGCAAGTGCAAAACTACAAAACGTATCAACAATAATATACATTATAGATCTTTTGGAAGATAAGATATGCTTTTATTTATGATTCAATTCTTGTTTTTTTTTGTATCTGTAAAAACATGAATTTGTATAAACATAACGCAGTCTAGCGATAACAGAATCGGGAATGTAGTGGCGCGTGAGGTACACGTTCGTTAGCTCTGGGACATCTGTGACAGATTGTTTTGTTTTCGAGCCTAGATTTGACGCGAGAACTTTGTTTAAATAAAAATAGGAATTTTAGGGAGGGGCAGGTTTGTTGACTATAGTTGATTTACGCGCGAGTGCTTCAGGTTTTATAAATGGATTGGTCAGAATGGAGTTATTGAAGTTTTATTAAAAATTGTATACAATTATTACAAGTTTGTCTTTTATTTAGTTTTATTGGTATTTTGAGTGAAGGTATTATAGTACATCTATCCTAGAATTAATAGTAGTGAAGGTATTATAGTACATCTATCCTGGAATTAAAATGTCTCTGCTGTTGAAAAGTAAGCCAAAAACATGGAATAAAACTTTTTCCTTCCAGGCTCTGTATTTCAGAAAATGAATGTTAGATTTTTTTGGGGGCACTTGATTTAATCGGTTTAGCGTTCTCTTGCATTTGCGCGTAATAATTCATAACCAGAGATACTATTTCCTTCTAATTAACTCTATATGCTGCGCGTATAAACATGAGAGGGAAGTTTAGAGAGATTTTTAAAGTGTAGACTTATCAGTCAAGTACTCGCATGTCCCATATATCTTCAAGATTGATTTCCTCGAAGGTTCGCAGAATAAAATTTTATTCCACTTTTTTTATCCACATTTGTACATACTTAGAAAAAATTGAGTCAAGGTGTGATTATCATTGGTTACTAAAAGTACTCGATTTCAGTAAGACCTTTTACCAAGTAATTTTACAAAAATATATTAGGTAGACTGGAAAGTAATGTCCTCTCGTTTACATTAAATTCAAACGAATCTTTAGTAAATTTCTATTTTAAAGCAAACATGTAATCGTCCTCGTTATCAACAGCCTTTCGGCATCTAGTGTGCAAATTTTCAATGCCAGATCGATAAAAATCAACGAGCTGATAAGTGAAAAAACAAATATTTAAAATTGCAGAAACGACATTATTTTCCAGTCCATCTAATACATATATATAAAGATTCGTATACAAAACAATATAAAAATCAACTGATCGCAATTAACAATCAATCATTTCATTCACGTACACCGTCATTCGATTTTTAAAAGCTCTCAGCAAAAAACGGCGAGCCATCATTCACTCGGAAGTGCGTGAGTAATTGGAGATGAAATTTCAGCAGTCAGAAATGGAGCCTAATTACAGGGAACACCAGTCCGATTCGCCTCGTTCCAGGTCTTAAACCACCCACGCGAGCAGCATCGGTAATAACAGTATTTTTCCGTTGTACCTTAAGTGTCTCTTAATTCCGTTCCCGCGGTGCACTGAAGTGTTCCGACGAGTGCCGGCTGAGAACTCATTTTTTTTCATTTGCGTGCGATTTTATTCGGCCATGCCGAGGCACACGTTGCTCAGAAGCAGTTTACGATAAGGTATGACGATAACCGAGTCTGATGATGGAGAGTACCGTAGACCGAGACTTGCCGTAAAAAACGGGGCAGTGGGGGGGGGGGGGGGGGGGGGAGGAGCTATAAATGTGCCAAGTACTCTTAGGGATCGCTCGCGTGTCCTGGCTTCCTCGAGAGCTTCCACTTTTATTCGCGACCGTAACGATCTATCCTTTATCCTGGCAGCTTGTCCTCATAGCGCAGGATAGCGCAGGATTCCATCGCGGAAGGAGAGTGATAGGATAGGAATAAATCGTTTTCACACACGTCGAATTACAGAGCACCTTGAACGAGGTGTATTTCTTGTAACGGGATCTTTTCTCGGGCGTCTTTTACGTCAGGGACTGGTGTAGTGTCCACCACAGTGTCGAAGATCTGATCTAACACGGATTGTTTGCGTGGTTTGAATAGTAATTTTACAGGGAATCAACAGTTTTATCTAATAAAAAGTGTACAATGGTGTTTGTTTAAGTTTGAATGATTTGACAATTTCAGATTTTATTAAATGGTAAATTTTGAAGTTGCGAGTTTGACAAGTTCTTATGGGGGGAAGCCGAATTAGAAGGTGAAATATTAAATGTTTTTGCGGGATTTATTTTAAAATAGAAGAATTTATTAAATAAAATTTTGTTAACTTTGAGAATATTTTAAGAAAACTTTTGGTCATTTTTGCCAAAAATATCGCGCTTTTTTCTGAAAACCGTCAGAATGATCATTAAAAAATTAATGAAGTAATCAAAATAGATGCCAACTTTTTTGTTAATAATTTTTTAATAAACAGCGAACGACGGTTAAGTTATTAGAAAAAGTTACCTGGGGACATGTCCTTGATAATATATCCTAAGGTCAAGGTCATTAGGACCTCTATTCGGCATTTTTACCAAAATAAGAATGAAATCATTGTGTAAAGTATGTTTTTTTATTACAAGTTGTTTACCACAGAAAAGTGGTAAAAATTGATACTTGTTCTTTAAACGAATATTCTCAAAGTTAAAACAGAATTAAATAAATTCTTCTAAAAAAAAAAAGAATTCTCTCTTGAGTACAAGACTATACTGAATTTTTACATATATACAATTATGAATTTTGGAATTGTTTGTGTACTAAAAATTTGTAAATAATAGCATATATAGTGAATATTTCAATGTATAAAGAGAATTCTATGAAGAGAGTCTTAAAAAAAATGTTTAATTTTTTATCTGAAATTATCAGATTCTCTCGTTAATATTTATATTAAAAATCATGCAGTTGTAGCACATTACTCTCTCGCTATTTTAAACTATTAAAATGTCCAAGATTCCCCAGTCTTCCTTTCACCCTCGACAAAATCTCCATTATGACATTTTGGGACTCTAAACTGGAGTCCACGAATGGTTCCGTGTACTTCTTCACGCCATTCGTTCCTTTCCTCGGTTCCCCATTTCCTTTCTTTTTACGATTATATCTCTTATCCTCCTCCGCGTCTTTAAATCCGAGCTCCCGGAAACGACATTCTCGTATCGCTAGTGATGGGATCAAGTTCAGTATGCACTCACGAAACCCAGTGAAGTTCAATACCCAAGGTTTAGTTCACGGGCTCGAATACTACCCCTAAGAGATAAGGTTACATTTGTTGCACTTGCTAAGTGTTCGAGATGGAGTTCCAAACTTCATCAGGATTAAACCGTACTGTTAAACACAAAAATACCTGTCCATCTCGTACATGTAATATAGTGTACAAGTTTGGATTATTTCAAAGTTACGATTGCCAATTTATATTCATCTTATTGTATAACTTTAATAACGTATTTTAAATAATACTTTGATTTCTATTTATTTTTCCAATATCTAGGTGAAAGAAAGGAAGCATGTTTGCGGTCATAAAAGTAATAACAGACATGACTACTCATTCGGTGTTTAATATTTCACTATTGATATTTAGACTATATGAATTCATTTTATTAATCAAATTTATTTAAATTTAAATATCTCATTTCATTCTATTAGATTATGTCACTTATTAAACTGTACTTATATTTATCAATAATCGATTTTACTTTTATTTTACTGTTAATTTTTCTCTATGACATCTACGATATTACTCATAGTAATTGTTTTCGAGTCAAGTGTCTTGACAGTGTATTCCTGACAATGTATTTTTCACTCGTCGATAGCTGATTCGTGTATGGGCTGTGTCGATAAACTTTTGACTGTATCTTCAACACAAAGACTATCATACAAAAAATACCTTTTAAATCACAGAACTCTTTCTCTTGATTGTATCTCTGAAGAAGAAATGGGCAAAGTCTCGTTCAAATAATAAGTAACCAATAGAAGTCATAGTGATTCATGAGCAATCACAGAGTAAGTGTCGCTGTTAAAATATTGGATAAAAAACAGGGGTTTATTTTATAAAATCGACAATTTTATTACTAGTATTTACTTATTTAGTTAACATAAACATATATCACACACATATTAAACGAAAAACTAAATTAACTAAATTTTACGCGTGACGAGTATACTCGACATTGCATGAAATACTGCTATTTCTCCATGACGAGTATACACGTCCAACACAACCGACTGTGCTATACCACTTGTACTATACTTAATCCCATCGCTACATATCACGCTCAGCACCCCTAAATTCAGCAACCCTAAAATTTCTGGACTCACGATTTCACAATTTATAGGGCAACTACGGCGACGTATCGGATCGAAAGGCCCTGAGGAAGAAGCTGGGCTGCAAGTCGTTCAAATGGTACCTCGACAACGTTTACCCGGAGCTCTTCATACCTGGCGAGGCCGTGGCTTCCGGCGAGGTAAGAATTTACACGTGTCCCTGGGTATCTTTTGTCCGCAGGTGGAGGCGAACGCTATCGGAATCAACTCAGCTACCATGGCCCCAGCCATTCGTTTCTTTAACAACGTTACTGGCTACTTTGATCCATCAAGGTGTTGAGTTACCAAGCTCTCGGAGGCTCCTTTTCGAGGAATAGACGTAACGCTCGGATGAATGGGCGAAAGGAGGTTTCCTTTTCATCTTCCTTCCGCGGTTTCGTTCTTTTTCTGGCGGGTGAACAAGCGCTTGTAATGTTTTCCCAAGGTAAGAGGCTACGTGGACGCCGTGGTCTTCTCTAAAGGAGAAACTGATATCGAGTGTTGCGAGGTTTTTGTACATTTCCCTTGGACTTGCTCTTCGTATTACTCTTTTTACAAGCTTTTAGATTAATTTTAATTCATTCGACCAATCCGAGTATATCAGTTTAATTGATGAAGTATTTTGAAAATTAGATAGATGTCTAGAACGATTTTTTAATACAAGAACGAAACAATGGGAATCGAACATTTTAAATAAAATGCTCGATACTAATACAAACACGACCGGTCATATTACCGTCTTCAAACTTTTGTGCGCAGTTCTGCAATTGTCTGCCGTTTTATGAAATGGACTCAGTACCATTTTTAATATTGAAGAAGTAATAATATATATTTTTAGTCAATTATTATGGTTTATTATAATTTGGATCGAGTGGTGTTTTGCACCGATCTCGGTGAATACGTCATTTCCAACTTTTTCTTTTCTGTGGAGGAACGTCAGTTTTTTACCCGACCCAAGGGTTTGTCAAACCCATCAGAAACTACCACAAATCCACTCAGACAGTATTTCCGTGTAGACAGTACATACATTAATAGTATTCAGTATTGCAGCCATCGTCAAAAACTACCATAAACCTACTCAGACAGTAGATTTCGGGTGTGATGCTATGATGTTTCTCGACGTTTAAAATACATATATTGGAAATGATATAATGGTGCAAAAAACTACTTTTTGAACCATTTCAGTTTTTGACCCGCGGGGGGAGGGCATTCTAATACATATTTGTGGAAAAGGATCCGTGTTCGAAAGCACACAGAGTACAAATATTGTAAATGAGATTGTTGTCAATTCAATTAAATCGTCAATCAATCTATCGATTAAAATTTTCTTAAATAGATCAAATATTCCAGTAATGGTTTTACTATTCTCATTTTTAAAGACCAAACAATTTGTTTTTCAACTACATTACATCCAAATAATAAACAGAGTCTCACAATCTACTAATAACGTCTATTTTGTTTTCGCATAATGTGTCAAGTATAGATACCTCTCTTACATAATTCAATAATTTTTATCAGAAAAACAATTTGGTATACAGCGAGGAGCAAAACTAAACCAATCACATAAATGTTTACCAAATGTTGATCATTATTTATCTTTAGTCTCAGGAAACTAACACCTTTTAATAAAATAGTTTAAGTTTCTTCACACTATTTAATTGAACAATTAAACTATATAAATGAACCTATCTTATTAAATAGAGTAAGCGTCCTAACACAACAAACAAAGAACGATCAACGTTGTTCTTTCTTTGTCATGATATTTATTTCCATAATAACAAATATTTTTCTTAAAAATTTGTACGATTGGTTCAGTTTTCCGCCTCACTGTAGATATGCATTTAAAAAAAAAACAATTACTATAACGTAGGCGAAGACACGAGAGGGTTAATACGCATATCCGGTACACACGAACGGGCGGAATCGGCGATAGCGGTTCCAATGATTGATGTCGATAAGCTCGCGACAGAAAACAATGCCTTGGATCGGGAAGCAATGCAATCACGCGGTCGAAACAATTCCTGATCGGATCGTGACGAAGGCACTCGCGACACCCGATCGGAAATCGATTCACCTCGATCGGTTTGTTGAATTCTTGGCTTACACCACCGAAGTTGGCGGTCGCTAGATAATGGAAGCGAATCGAACGTCGCTCCCGGCGGAGACGTTTCCCCGGAGAATTGGCAAGGCTTTTCGAGGTTCGGTTTTGCAATTAAAGTCCTTCTTCTTTGACGGCTATGGTTCGCGGCTGTTATCTCCGCTGTCGTTTGAGCGAATTTATACGAACATTCTCGGGAAGGCAACGTACGATTATGTAATCTGCTTTTGCGAGTGTTCATTGCTTCGAACTGGTCAGTTTGTTCGTGGAGGAATGCTGAGGCAGTGGAGATTGCGAGTACATTAGGGAGGTGTTTTAGTCTTTTTAATCTATAAGGAATCTTTATGAAGGGTTATGCACACGTATTTATTTACATTTTAAACATTTGGCTGTGGAAAGAAAATAATAGAATAATCTATTAAAAAAGATATTAAGAATACAAAAATATGTAGAATAATCAGATTTTGAGAACTTTGGTTCGAACGATAAAGGTTCATGTGCCGAAGATTCATTCCACATTTGCAGTCGTTAGGTCAACTAGAACTCGAGATATCATGGCAACCATTTAAAAAATATGATTACGAAGAAATCGCTTTGTTTTGGAGGAAAAGTTTTGCATACCAAATTTGTATACTTACGATTACGATTCAAAACCTAATCCTTGCTTACTTACTTCTTGAAACTGAACTGTTACTTTTGCACATTTTACGCGTTACCAACGAAGAAATTGTAGTAAACACTAGAAAGAAATTTAAAACGCAGTATCCAAATGAACTGCAGATGATAACGTCGTTTCTGAGACATAGTTCTCTTTAGATACCTCTAACTTCATCAATTTTCTGAATTCAACAAAATCCTTCGGCACGATATACGTTTAAAGATCTACGCTTTGAGAAAATCCAAAAAAGAGTTGATATTTTGAAAGTTTCAAGCTAGAATACCCTCTTAAGCCTGAAAAGTATCTTAAACTTGATTTCGATTAAGGATTTAATTATTTATTTATTTATTCATTCGGTTATTTAACGGGTAAATTATTACAGTTCGGATCTATCGTAAATTAAAAGCAAAAGTATTACGTAATTATATTAATTTTAAAAAGTATCTAATCTTAATTCGCAATGAAAATTAAATTATTTATTTATTCATTTATTAACGGGTAAATTAGCCTCTTTTAGACCTATTTTAGATGCATGTACAATATACATTCTTCGAAGACAAATTACCTTGGCGTGTAGGTAAACCTAATGATACATTCGAGGAAGTATATAATGGTCATCGATACTTTGAAGGAAGTATCAACTATGCATCGACAATTTCGTGGAAGTATCTAATCAAGTACGTATGAAATGCGGGCTAATCCAGATCGATACTTCCATGCTTGAAATCAGCGCATCAAATTTGACATTTGACAATTGACACTTGAAATTCCACACCTGGAAAAAGACACCACTCTATAGATACTATCGTTAGAAAAATTAAAGCTTCTTGTAGAAACACCCTTACTCGAGTAGATATCATCTTCGAGGAAACGTACACGGTGCCACGTTTCGCCACATGACCCCCTTTCGCTTCTCCTTAAACAACCGAATCGCGAAGTCGAAGTATACGAGAGACATCGAAGTCTCGTTACAGTTCGATAAACGGGGTTCGATGGTGCGGGAGGCGCGACGGCGCGTCGATCAAATACGCTTGTACGATTCGAGAATGTAATGACCCGTAGGAGTACTCGAGACACGCGGCGCCACGGGATTATCGGCGACAAGCGCGACGAGCTCGACAATCATTTCGCAATTACGAATGCGGCGAAACAGAGGGCTAGCAGACGCCGGCCGGCGTCGCGACGCGACGGAAATAAATCGGTCCGTGATTGATCGTCGCCGCCATGAATGCTGCATGGGAACGGAATTAATGCACTGTCAATCGGGCGAGATGAGCGAAACCCGAATCCCGACTCGTGACGATGGGTGGTTTTCGCGATTTTCGCGCACGACGTCGGACGTCAAGTCTCCCGCGACGCCCACGATATTTACGTCTTCGTTTTCGGTTTCCTCTTCGTGCTCTGCTTCACGGTTTTTTTTTTTTTTTTATAGTAGCTGGAATGTCTGCCGCCTTTAGAATCGTGATATTTCGATGATGAAATTATATTTTGTGAGCTTAACTCTTTGACGAGAAAGCATCTTTGGGAAATACACGCGGTTTATGAGTAAGCTTTGTTTCATAACATAAACAATATTTTATTTTTTTTTATATGTATTTGACTGTGCATACTTAATTTTACTTCAATTTTATTTTTTATATGTATTTGACTGGATACTTAATTTTACTTTAATTTTATTTTTTTATATACATTTGACTGCATACTTAATTCTACTTTAATTTTATTTTTTATATATATTTGATTGCATACTTTAATACACGAACTAGTAAGCAATTGTGTATGCTAGGTACTTTATATCATTTTCATTTTTAAGTGGAAGTGGAATCTGAACATTTGTTATGTTATTATTTGATAGAATATTTAAGAGAGCAAAGTACAATATACTGTATCAGATGAGTACTTATTTTCAAAGTATTAAAATATTTTGTGCTTTTCTAATGCATCGTCATGTAGAGTTACAGTTATTAGTACAGATTGTAAGTTCCTTTCCTTTAGGATACAGTCCTACGCTTATTTTTAAATTGTTATTTCATAGGAAGTGTGCTCATACACATACTCATTCGCAATAATTCACCATAATTGTAAAAATGTAAATTTCAACAAAGATAAATGAATTTCATATGAACGAATCTCACAGATTGACATGTGTAGCAGGATGGTTGGTATAAATATTACTTAACAAAGTTTTGTTACACATCGATACCCCAAAGCACTGCATACAGTAAAATTTGAAGTGTTTTTCTCCCTTTAAAATTGTTAACCCTTTCGCTACAGCGATTCGGTCCGTCAGAGCGCCACTCCTGACCGGGACCACCCGCCGGAAGTGTACAAGCGCCGGATATATCCGGAGTTCGGAGCGAAAGGGTTAACTATTAACACGTTCCGTGCCAAGCCGTTTTTGCCCG